TGTCTTTACCTCTCCCACTTTGTTTACCGCGTAAAATGCTGCAATCCGTAACATTCCGCCCGCCATCATAAATTCATTGATGATTGATATCCGTATCTTCGATGGGAACTGGCAGGGGTGCAAGCATGCGAATTGGTCTTGAGATTATCGAGGAGGTGGTTTTTAGTGTTACTACTCTAGTCAGTTCATCCTTTCTCGGTTTTCCTAGAGATCCGACTTTGATCGTGTTGCTTGAGTGATGTCACTTGGAGGTTGAAAGGAATTGCTGTAGGTAATGTTTTCTCCATTGCTTCCAGAATCGTTGGACTCGTTGTTGGATGAATTGCCACCTTGATATCATTGATGCGTTAGGGTCACTTGTTGATGGGTCTGACAGCGTGTTGTGCCGAATGAGCTTGGGCTTCATCGAACTGAAATCGATCCGTACAGCGTTGGGAGGCCGAATGAGCTCCTTGTCAGTCGAGATGTCGTTACTCTTGAGGAGGGCAATTGTCCCATTTGTTGGCTAGCGAGTGTTTGTCCTTGTTTCGCTCAAGTAACGCATCGTAGAATTTATGATTTTACCGCTGATCTTCCTCCACTGAGTGTATGAAGTGTAATTTGAGTGCTTCCATGAAGTGTGCTGAAATTGTAAGTATCAGCTGGTGTAGTGAGATCGCTCCTGCTCATGAGGTAGCATGAAGGGGTGGTGTTTGAATTAAGTATGTTTGATGTATGAATAACTACACTTGTTGTAGTGTAAGATGCTTAATGGAACTTGTTGAGTAATCATTTATGTTTTAATTGTTTTTGGGGGGCAGTAAGGGACTACTCACCCAAAGGAGTAATTAATGATGAGTCTTCGTGCTCTTGACGGAATTATTGAATGTAATTGTAGTCGATTATTCAAGTATTGTTGTTTGGCCTTTACAATGTGCTTAATGACTTGCGACGCCTGAGTCGACTCTTACGGGGTTGAAGCGTTGGTTCGAGAGAGACCGTAAGTTTGCCCGCTCTGTTGGTGTGGGCCTGTACGGGGTCGAAGCGTTGGTTCGAGGGAGACCGTAAGTTTGCGCGCTCTGTTGATGTGCGTAATGTGACTAGCTTATTTATTAATACAGATATGTACCTTGTGAACTGCAGACAAGGTGTATAGGTTGCTGTGTAATTGATGTGCTTTTTGATTACTGTTCAATTGGCTTCACTGTAAATCACTACTAGATCTGCCGATTTCCCTTTAATAATGCACACGCATATTATTTACTAGGCTGCAGAAGTTATGGCTACGTGTCGTCTTCACGGTATATGCTAAAACACTGAGCGGCAATTATAGTTAAGTGAGTGCGAAGTAGGATTACAATGAGCCTCGTGAGTTGTGGTTGTTTAGGGAGAATGGCTGTGTGTTTTCTATTTTCTGATATTGTTGTACTCGTTAGTCGTCCACCAACTCTTGTGACCCCGTGTGTGTCTATGTAGGCGGTAAGTCGATGGAATGCGTGTAATGAGGTCAGGTCTGTTGTTTGCATCGCTCGTAATTCTTGGGCCAGGTGTACCTCTTGATTTAGCCATATCCACTGTGTTCTGGCCTGATTCATTCGTGGTGATTAATGAGATGCTTGGACGGGCTTCCTGGTCGCATTGGTCCTGGTCGATCAGTTGCGTTGGTCACGAGTCTGAAGTTAGTGTCCATGGAGGGCCAATCCACCATAGAGTAAGTTTTAAGTTATTGGGTGGTGAGTCCTCTGGATGCGCAGTCGGCTGTACTTGAGTTTCTGGGCACATGCCTCCATTAAGCTTCGGCTATGAGTTCTTGCATTTATGTGACTCTATTGCAACCAATTCTTTTCATCGTGCTGGGTGAGCATTGATCCAGGTTCGGGTTACTCGTGCGTCCGTCCATAGATGTGGCCCTTATCTTTAGGTTCAGTTTACGGATTGTTCTGGATTCGGTGGTGCCTTAATAGCAGTGATTGCTTCCTCGTTGGTGAAGTGTCATTTGCAACAGCGAATCCGCCCGCCATGCAAGGGTCCCTTGATTGTTTTGCTGTCTCCACTAATTGACTTGAATTGTGTGTTGATTGCAGACTCACCTTGCTACAGCAGTGGCTAGTAATGTCATTGGTTGCTGGTACTCGATTACACTGGTGTGGTGTATGGTGCTTCATGTAGTAATGAGTGGTGTGCCTTGTCGCATACGCAGCATCCTTTCTTGGCTAAGCATGGCTGTGGCAGATGATTGCCCAGGCAGTTCGGACATCGCTCCTTTTCTTTGATTACGTCCAGTCTCTGTGTGGGGCTGAGCTGCTTGTATTGCATCTCCAGATAGGGTGCCGTTCCTTGCAGTAGAAGCATTGTGATTTTACGTCGTCTGTCCTGCTAGTTGAACCTGGTGGTTCGTGCGTGGTGGATGATTGGCACAATCTTACGTGTTTTTTTTGGGTGTATGATGCTGGGCTTGGTTTATTGACGATTGAATTCCTTGTGTGCTTGCCATTGTAACATTTTCTAGTGCTTCCAGTCTTGTCATTACGAATTGATCGAATTTCTCAAATAGTGGATATGAATTATCTTCTAATGATTGTTCCCAGTCTGTTATTACTTGTTCGTCTAATTGTAATAATGCCACATGTAGCAGTAGTGCGTCCCATGCGTTTGTGACATTATCTTGCATTAGTGATCTTCGTAGACTGCGTATTTTGCTCATTAGGGTCGACATTTCGCGGCCTTCTTTCACTCTTGATAATGAGATAGTGATTGCTTGCGTAATAAGCGCCTTCAGAGCCAGTCGGGGTGAGTTGTATTTTTTCTGTAATAACTGTCAGGCTGGTTCCAACGACTTGTTTTGTAGAGACATACCTGATATTAATTCTGCAGGTGTCCTTGCAGAGAGTTCCGCAAATAGTGTAGTTTTTGAATTTCGCTTAGTTTGGTGCTTTTAAATATTAAAGATTGAAACAAGTCTCTCAAGGCGGGCCATGCAAGATAGTTTCCGTCGAACTTGGAGATAGGGATGTCTGGGAGATATGCAACTCCACGAGCCTCTGCTGGCAGTATCCCGTCATCTGCACTCGTTTACCGCGTAAAATGCTACAATCCGTAACAACTATATTTTTAATTATATGACATAGTTCTTTCAAATTCAAATTTTAAAATGTATTTACTAGTGTTATATATTCAATTATTCTCGATAAACAAAATTGATTATATTCAATTGCACCAGTGTATTGTAAAGGTAAATTATCTTAGCATTTTCCTTTTGATTCTTCCTGATTTTGGCTTAATATAATTTAAGATTTTTTATTATTAATACATATTAACGATACTTGCAGGTTATTTTTTTGTAAATTTTATGAAATTAAATAAATAAAAATTATGGCTATAAATACATTACTTAAATTGTGGAATGTAGAAGAATATTACAACCCATTTATTTTCAATACTGTTGTAGTTTATTAATATTCTTTAAGTAATTTAAATTTTCTTGCGTTCCATGATGCAAAAAGAACATTTTGTATTACCTCAATCTGCTCAGCTCTAAATTTATTTCTAGATTAAATACATGTTTCATTACGTTCATTAAATATATAATATTAAGCCTTTCAAGACTGTTTTTTAAAATCCATTTTAATTGCGGTTTATTAGAGATTTGATATTTATTTATTTATTTTTCATATATTACATGTACATGTTCTTCAAAATTGATATTACTATTTTTTAAAGAAGTATTTTGAAAATATTAAATTATATACAAAATATATCGAATTTTTAAGAAATATAAATTATTGGATAAATTATGTTCTTATGTGTTGGATCATATACATCCAACAAATATAGATTTACATTAAATAGAATTCTTAGATTAATAAAACTCTTTAGTAATTTGTATTACAAAAAAACATTACTGTATAGATAATCTATTAGTAAAAAAAATTATAATATAATAATAGAAAAAAGAAATTTTTTAATTTAATAAATTAAAGATCTGATAACTATTTGTTAGACTATCGTTTCTGCTTTCAAACAACAAACTTTCCGAATATCTAAATGCTGTTTGATAGATATTACATTACTTACGCCTGCTTTAATGAACATTTAACATCATCATATGGTAACTTCTTTTAAATAATGTTGAACACGTGATGTTATATTATTTAAAATTTATATTTTACTAGTAATATCAACTTACTAATTTGTAGAAAAATTTATTAATAAAATTTAAATCATTAAAACTTAAAGAAATATAAAATTAGTCAAGTATGAATCCATTCGGTTTTTTTAAAGGGTTAATCAATTGTTTTAAAAACATTCAGAATAAGTTTATTTAATATTTGAAAAGAAAATTGAATGTCATAAATTATACAGTATGTGTTTAGTCAGATACACAATTAGTTTTGCGTGATATAAAGATGCGCATGCGTTTCCGAACATGACTTTGACAGTTGGGTGCGTACGCTTGTATAGATTTGTTTATGGGAATATTTTTTAATTAATTTTTTTATTAAGAATACGTACTTATAGAATGTAAATTTTATTTTCAAAAAATAAAATAGATTTTTTTATTAATATTGTATACGTGCATATGATATTGTTAAAAAAAATCAATGCGTATGCATCATCCAATTCCTCGTCTACCTATGGAATAGAAATACGTTGTACACCGGTGGTGGCACGTCCGTTTTCATGTGTATGGCTGGCGTCTCATTCAAGCTACACATATAAGTTTTAGAGCCGCGATTAGCTATTTAAGTATAAGCTATAAATCGAGATTTAAAGAAAAGAATTTTTTAAATTCGAATTTAAAATACTATTTTTCGTGCGTGTAACGCTTACTCAATTGGAAAGCTTTGATAATCTTTCGATATTTTATGCTAATAGTTTAGTTAGCTAGTGTATTTCAATTGCGGTTGTGTACGCGCTGAGTACATTGCTCCGCCCGAAACAAAACGAATCACCACCATTATGAACTCTCTGATGAATTATGGAAGTGATGGCGAGAACAGTAACGATTCTAATGACGGGGTATGTAATTTCTTCTCGCTCTCTCTCTCTTCACATTATAAACAATTACCGATAAGAACATTGCTTATTATCGCGTATGTTCCTTTGAGACATAGATTTCAACCCAACAAGTACTTCATTTCTCTTTGTATTTGCTTCGCTAGCTCGGCCATGTTGATTTTGAGCTAAGTAAAAAACGTAATATATTTTTAGGTATATGAATATACAAAATTTTTGTACTTTAATTTTTAAGATATTATATATGATAAATGATTATATATGTAAAAATGTATTTTAGTGCTCAATCAATCTGATTTATTGATATTTTAAATATTTTCTAAAATTAATTATATTAATTTTAGAATCCATGCTTGAATGTTTATTTATTATTAGTTCCATAATTTTTTTTCTTAATAAGTAATTGATTTGTTAAGACTTTCTGTTTATATTTTATCTATATTTATTTATTCATTTAACTTATTTTAAATAATTATCATTATTTTAGTTGACAAATGCAGTTAATAAGTCCAGAGTAAGCGATGCAATTTATGATCCAGTACCAATGGACATGAGTGAGGTATAAATAGTATTTTATATTTATGTAATTTTTAATATTTTAAATAGTCGGGTAGGAGTTCTCATATATTACTCACGAATCTTGTTGACCACTAAAACAAAGTTGACTTTTGTTTATATTTTTTTTTCTCCTAAAAATTTTAGTTAAAGTTTAGTTTTCTCCTAAAAGTTTTAGTTATTATCTATGTTAATAATTGGTTTTATTGATTTTAAATTATTGGATTTAACATTTTAAGTTTAAATTTATAATTTATAATCATGTTAAAAAGAAAGTTTATTTTGTAAACCAAAATTAAGAAGTGAGGTTTTATTTACAATTTATAATAAATATAAATTAATGGGATTAGTACCATTTCGTGAGATAATATTAACACGTAGCTCTGTTCGTAATTCATGATACAATATCTACGCACCTCGGCAAGGTCAATGCTGCGCGAGGGTCTTTCAAGACTACCCCCAAGTTCTATTACGAAGATTTAGGTAAGTAGAAGATGCTGCCAGAAGGTAACTCTTACAAAAAAATTGAAATGATCATCACAGAAACATACATTAAGCAAGGATTCGGTGTTAAAAAATACATAACAATAAAATTTTATTTGGAAAGCAGGCATTCTTGGTATGGTTTATGAATTTTTTAACAATAAATAATGCGTCCACATTGTTTTGTAGTTTTTATAAATTGATATTTTCCTTTTACACTTCAAATATTTAATTTTGTTGTGTTAAAACTTAAGTTATATAATTAGAAAAAATCTAAAATTAACAATTTTTGATACCAAAGAACAATGTTTAAAAATTCTACTAACTAAAGAGCGAATGTATTTCCCTTGTTCTATATATACATTAAACTTTGAAAATTCTAGGGAACATTTGGTTTTGGAATGAATTTATTTAAGATAACCAACTATTTTTATCACTGTTTTGACAATAAAAAAATGTATGATTTCTGTAGGAAAGCAACAACAACAATTCTTCAGATAATTCAGACAGTGAAAGAAGTCCTCTTAGATCACTACTATCAGGTTCCCATCGAATGCTTTCTACAAGAAATACTTCTTCACTTCCAGACCAGAGGTATACTGGTTTGCTATTAAAAAATTTTATAAAATTTTTGTTTCATAGTGATTTATTCAATCTAAATATTCAATTTTTGTAATACACAGCCAATAATTGTTTCTTATTTTAATCATTTTTTGAAGCATTTAATAAATCAGTTTCTATTAATATCGCTAATAATTGTAATAAAAATAGTGTCTTTATTTTTAAAACAGATATTTTAATATTGAAATTTAATGTAAAAGTTTATATAAAATTTTGAAGTAACTTTACCCAGATAGAAATTCAATGTTTTAATTTTTACATTTAATATTTGTATTTACAAATCTATTTCTTAATTGGACAGAAATTTTATACATATGTTGTGTAAGATTTAAATAATATTTTAAATTGTATTGTTTCAAATTTAAGTGGAAAAACGTGAATTCTAAATTTTATTTGTAAATATATTTATAGCAAAATACTAATGCAAATTATTTTAATTCTTTTTGAGTATTGCATTGGTGAGTATCGTATTGTGGTGCTGTACTCAAAAAATATAAATTGTTTAATATTGATTAATTTTTTATTTCAATCTATTATAGGGTTATATATTCAATTATTGTAACTATAACTATCATACATCTTATTATTTATCAAATATAAAGGCATTATAATACTAGAAAAATTGTACTCTGTCTTAATGTATTAAATTAATTAATGATTAAATTCTTTTTTAATTAATTTCTATTTAATTAATAATTAGATAAATTATTTGTGGTAAAAAAGATCTATGTATTATTAAAAATATAAAATTTTTATCAAAGTATGAGTTGCTTAATGCTTAAAACCATTAAATATAATTAAATTTTAGTATAATCATTTTAATTATTTAAAATTACAATAATATTGTTGTAATAATTCAACAAATTTTAAAAGTGGATAAATATATTTTATATAAATTTTTTGTACACTTATATAAAGTTTTTCTTTACTTATAGAATATTTATTAAATTGTGAATTTATTAATATTTTAATAACTTCAAATTTGTTCAACTTCATTGAAATATTTTCAATTTATTTCAATAAGAAGTAACTATTCAATAATACAAACTCTTATTGTACTGTTAAATATATTAAAAATAGAAAAAATAATAACTAACAGTAAAATGGATAATTGTATAATATTAGTGATATTAGGTTTACTTTAAAGTAGTCTTTTCATCAATCGATATACTTGATTAAATATTCATATAATTTTATAAAATGTTCATTAATACTTTATACAAAATTTAAAGCCAGAAATTATCAAATCCTATATTCTTAATAATATTTTATAGATAATAGTATGAGGTTGTATTAAGGATTATGTAAGTTTTCTAGTTCTTTATTTTTATTATTAAATATGAACTTTAAAAAACAAATTTGTTTGTACATGCGGGTGTTTAAACGCCTTCATTAAAAACTATAAATAGTGTTTGCTTTGATTCTGTATAAAATCTAATAAGTTATATAAATGAAATATAGTTCACATTTAATTCCACTTTTAAAATTTAAGTATGCATTATAATGCATTCATCCTATTGCACGATTCGTAATTGAACTACATAATAATTCGAATCTGTGTGGTATACCCCTGCAGAACGTAATCGTTTTACAGGCGAATAGATCAAGAAGAGCGTTCTTCAAGTTCTCACGATGATCATAAAAACAATGATAAATCAGATGAGAGTAAAATAGATAAGCATGAAAAAATTAGTAGACATAGTTCAGATAAAAAAGGTGATGATAAAAGACGTGGAAATGATTATAAAGATAATAAGGAATCAAAAAGGTATAAAGACGATGATAAAAAATCTCGAGATGATAAAAAATCTCGGGACAATGACAGGCGCAAAGATAAATCTAACAAAGAAGATAAAAATGATGATAAAAGTGAAAGAGATCATCATCGTGATGACCGAAAGGAGAGGTGAGATAACTTTATTTTTATCAAACTTTTTTTTTAATGACAATTATTTTAATAAACATTGTGCATCGATATTTCTAATTTAAAAATAAATTTTATTTTTAGAGATAGAAAAGATGATAGAGAGAGGCGGAGAGACCGTGATAGAGATAGAGACAAAGATCGAGACAGAGTCAAGGATAAAAGTCGAGACAAAAGCAGAGATAGAGATAGGGATAGAGATCGACGACATTTGAAGGATGAAAAATCTCGAGACCGCCACAGAGATGACAGAAGATCTCGAGATAAAGAACGTGTTCGATCGAGATCTAGATCCAGATCCAGATCAAGAGATCGAGCATCATCCCACAGACTTTTCAATTATCGTGAGGGGAGAAATAAAACTAAATTGGCACAATTAGAAAAATTAGGTATAGAAATAAAAGCTTCGGAATGCGATACAATACATAATTCTCATGAACAAAATTATTATAATCCATTGGCAACAGCTACACAAGGAAAATATGCTGAACAAATTCAAAAAAGGAAACTGTTGTGGGCAAACAAGGTTAATTGAAAAGTTTGATAACTAAATGTTTTATAATACATGTTACAATGCATACTGTATAATATTACTATAAATATATTGACCATATTTATTTTAATTTTAGAAACAAGATGATAATAAAACTTCAACTGCAGCTGCATCTACAGCAAATACATGGGTTGGCACAACATTTACCCATGATCAAGACGGTAAAGTGACCGCTAAATTTAAAAGGTTAATGGGCATTAAAGAAGATATACCAGCAAATTTAACATCCGGGTCAAAGCCTGATATCCTTAAAAAACAAGAAGAAATGTTTAATAATATGGAGCAACAATATGAAGTTGCCAGAGCAACAACACATACACAAAGAGGTGTAGGTTTTGGTTATGCAAGTGGTAGTTTTTCATTTCCGCGATAAATTCAAATATTTTAAATTATATGAATTGTATAAACTTTTCAAATTTAATTGTACTTGATGCACTTCAAAAATATTTTTTAGACTAATTTTTGCATACTTTCTTGGAAAACTGTTATAAACTGTTCATTTTTAATTACAAACCATGTTATTAATAAATAAAATGTTGATGTTATGTAATCAATTACTGAAAAACAAATCTTTAAATGTATGTATTCTACTTACAAGTATATTATATTGTCATTTATGCACTTTCAAGAAAGTATTTAATAAAATTATATATGCATATATTGTTTATGCATAAATAACGTAATGTTTTGTTGATATTCAATTAAAAATAAGCTTTTTTAATTGTATAAATAAACCAGTGTAATGTAAAAAAATTTTCCAATAAATTGAATAAGAATATTTTTATTGTTTTGAATACACCAGTTAAATGAAAACAATTGAGAGCGAAAAATATAAATGATGTTATTCATAACAATTTCTTAACAAAATAGCTATTCAAATAAAGTTTATTGTTTCTTTTCAATTTTAATTAAAAAAAAATTAAAATTATAAAATGTTTATCCTTACACCAATAATTATAAACATTTGTCATGAATTATTAAATTTTATTTAAAACATACATTTTAAATAATCTGATTAATTTTTAATAATTGTTCATAAGAAAAATATGATTGAATTATTAAGTTTCTTTTAATGTAGATTAATAAAATTTATTTTCTTGTTCTGCATAATTATTTACTGATAGAATACATTTTTATAATCACTATAATTACTTTTATTTAATAAAGACAACTAAGGGAAGATTATTAAGAATGATAAATGATAAAATTATGTAAACATTCAGATATAAATTATAAATAAAATTTATAAAGACATTGAAAGAATATGTGAATTAATTATACAAATTAATAATTAAATGAAATTTATTATATGTATATTGAATTATATTAATTATAATTCACAGTTTTAAAAAATAAATACCTATAGTATTATAATATTATATTGCAAATATTTTCATTTTGAACACTGCTAAAAAAACGAGAGAATTAATAAAAAAAAATATGCTAAATCTATACATTGATGATATTAGATATATCTATATTATAAAATATATAAAACATACTATATTACAAAATATAACATTTTAATTATTTAAGATAAATTAAGATGACTCAAATTTTTATTAAAACATTTATTGTATCTATACCTTAATTTTCATTTCTTACTGAAATTATTACAAAATTATACAAAATTAAATAAAATCTAATATGAATTGCTATTTCTTTATATACAATTTTGTTATTTATATGTAATTTTTAAGCAGGTACATTAATAAACATTTTAATTTTTTTGTTTTATATTTTTATAGTGAATTATAGTTATAAAATTATCATTAAAATAAGAACATTATTTTAAATTTATTCAATTATTAAAAAAAGAAAACTAAATATAAAAACAATAATTAACTAAATCATAGTAATTAAATATGTTTATTAAAGTAGATAGTAAAGTAAATTGTAATATTTTTTTGTGTACTTTATTGTATAATATTTTTTATTTACTTGTAACGTAATATTCATTTAATATCTATAATTTGTAAATTATAAAATATAACTTATTCATATAATGATTTTTAATCTGAATGTAAAAAACGGTAAATAATATATTGATTTGTTTAATATACTAATATATAGTTTGTTTTTTTAGTTACATCATTTCACGTTTTCATAATACAATCTATTTTTTGTAATTTGACTTAACTTGTTTAGGTCTTTTTTCGTCATTTTGGAATTCTATTTACTACCATTTCCAGTGTGGTATTAATCCAAAATGAATGAGAATTATACTATTAAATCAGTTTTACTTTTAACCGTTTTACAAAAATCATAAATCGAATATATTGATACATGTTGGAAAGACTATTATGGATTTTCGAAAATATTAATGAATTTAAAAACAAAAATTTTATCAATTACGAATTTGAGCGGCTATACAATTCATTTTGATTGGTTGTATTTCTTGGTTTTACATTTGGATATTTAAATGAAAAGCGTTCTGTAATAAGGCATCCTCTTAAAATTTTGAATTTAACCGTTGTTAACTGTGTGAGTATCGTAGCATGCTCTCAATTTAAGTTGAAAAGTTAATCTTCCTGCTCTGGTCGATTTTTGTAGGAAAATTAGTAAATAATAAATCAAAAAAGATATTTTTCTCCGTATCTTAAGACATTATTTAATTAATAAATCATTTATAATATTCATAAATTATAATGGACAATTTCATCAGAATCGAAAAGATTGGAGAAGGTATTACTTAATTTTTATTATATTTACCGTTTCAACTTTTATAAAAATTTCTAACCATAAAATTTTTAGATTATTTATTTCAAAACCACATACTTTAAAATAACTTACGGCATTAACAAATGATAAATAATATTATTTTTAAAATGACTAGGTACATATGGAGTTGTATATAAGGGAAAACATAAAAAAACTGGTGAAATTGTTGCGATGAAAAAGATACGATTGGAAAGTGAGGATGAAGGAGTTCCATCAACAGCCATTAGAGAAGTATCATTACTGAAGGAATTGAAGCATCCAAATATTGTAAGTCTTATGGATGTATTAATGGAGGAATCAAAACTATACCTTATATTTGAATATCTCACAATGGATCTTAAAAAATATATGGATAATTTGGGAACTGAAAAACTTATGGATCCAGGGTTAGTTAAATCATATTTATATCAGGTAAAACATGTCTTTAGTTTACAAAATATACTAATTTTACTTAGTGCCTAAGCAATATAATTTCTGTTAATTTTATATTTAAAAATTTATAAAAAAATTGTTTTTAATAAAACAATTAATTGTTAATTATTTTTTAATAAACAAATAATTTAATTAATTCAAATTATATTAATATACAGAATATTAAATTTTTTTATAAAAATAATAGAATCTATAACACTTAAATTTATTTATTTATATTTTTAATCAAATTTGTCTTTTATAAAAAATAATAAATATTTATAATTTTAATATTAAACATATTACAATTTCAGTCTGATATTAATTTTCAAATATTACATTTACTGCATTTTAAATCTTATTTATTGATAGTAAATAATTATTGTTTTGGTTTGTCATATCGTAGATAATGTTAATGGATTATAAAAATATATATTGTAAAATGTATTATGTCTAACAAACAGTCTTATTTAAGTAATGAAATAAATATTTGAATTTTTTGGTAAGATTTTTCTATTAATATAAAGATATATATGGTTAAATAATATATTGTGTTGTAAATGAATTTGTAATATACGTTAAGATTTTTTGTGCTTGATCTATTAAATAGTTTTACTTTATATATATTTTTTAATTGTTATCCCTTATGTTTTATCAAATTTGTTTTTGTTACATATTTAATAATGTAAATATTTAAAAATTTTCATTCTATAAATTCTAAATATTTGCGAATACTTTTTATTAGGAATATTACATTTTCAGAAATAATTTTTGACCACCCAATATGGAAATATTAACATTTTTCATAAATCAATTTTGTGTTTTGGTTTGTCCTTTATAATTATCAGTAGAATTTCTTCTATAAAACAATAGAATAAATTATTTGTAGTATGTTTTAACATGTTATAGGAGCTTGGTCAAAAGTTGCTTCATTTATAAACAATTATTTAATATTATTACATTAGTTTAATATTATAACAATTAGTTATTATATTTGTATTTTATTTACTCATAATTGTTTTCTTCAAGTTGTGAAATATTCTATAATATTCTATAATTGTGAAGGAAATTATTTTTTACCTCAAATTCTCAATATGCAAAGACTGCTGCATATTCTCTATGCTTTTTTTTTTAATTTAAATGAATTTTTATGCAAATTAGTCTTATCAATTATATAAAAATAGTATTATAAAAGTGCACAGCATTTTTAATCTAATAATTATTTCTATTATAAATAATTATTAAAAAATTTTTTCATGTTACAAATCTTTTTAAAAATGCAATATTTTTCTAAATTTTCATTGGAAAATCATTCATTTGAATCTTTCGCTATTTATACTTGCATTTGAGTTTTCTATTTTTTATTTAAAACTAAATGTTAAATGAAAATTTTGACTCTTAATAGGATTAATTTATGTATTAGTAACTGTTCTCTTTAAAAATTTGTATTATATTATATTTATATTGAATACTAGTGTGTAATATTTATTTATTCTTTATGTTTCTATTAAAAATGTCTAATATTTTATTTATTTTATACTGTTTTATACAATATTTTTTTATATTTCTTTTTCAATATTTATATTCTCAATATTCATATAATAATATGAAACTAATAAATTATATACATGAATATAATCATTTGCCCCCCAATTCCTTAATTTTCTTTGCTGCTTCAATAAAATGAAAATTTTTAATTCCATTTAAACAGATAAAATTTTTTTTGCTTTTTTTACTTCACTTGAGCATTATGTTATTTGTAAGTAATTAAAAAATTTATTTGAAAATGGGTCAAGTCAGCAGTTTGTAAACCATGCAACATATACTCACACTATAGAACTTTAGTGCTCTATTAATATATTTTGTAATTATTTAATTTTAATTTATTTTATTTTTAATTGAGGTTGTATTATTGTTTCAATGCAAATTAAAATTCAATATTCTCCATATTAACATTTTTTATTTTGTGATTAACCATATAATATAAATAAAGGTTATGCAAATAATATAGTTTCTATAATGTTTTAAGATTGAGGTGCCTATGTTTATTTACAATTATGAATTTAGAGTAAATAAACTATTTAAATTTAAATTAACACATTTAAATATTTAAATGTATAACTACAATAATTTTTAGAAAATTTGTTTTACACAAGATTAAAAAATATTATTTATGTATAAGTCTATATTTTAGACAAAAAGTATAAAAATTTACTTTATATACAAAATAATATAAAAACTGAAGTAAAATTTAACAGAAAATTAGAATTTGGTAGAAATATTTTTTATTAGCTCTATAATCTAGAAACTATCTATTTTTATTTTAATAATAAATGAAATATATGAATTTATCTTTCAAAAATGTAGTTAAAATACTAATACTTTTATTGAATTATTAATTAAATGTCATTTTTTCAGATAACAAGAGCTATTTTATTTTGTCATCAACGTAGAGTACTTCATCGTGATTTAAAACCACAAAATCTTTTAATAGGTAAAAAGGGAGTTATAAAAGTAGCTGATTTTGGTTTAGGCAGAGCATTTGGCATACCAGTGCGTGTTTATACACACGAGGTTGTAACATTATGGTATAGAGCACCTGAAATTCTTTTAGGAGCAAATAGATATACTTGCAGCATTGATATGTGGAGCATTGGTTGTATTTTTGCAGAAATGGCAACAAGAAAGCCATTATTTCAAGGAGATAGTGAAATAGATCAATTATTTAGAATATTTCGGCAAGTTATAATTTTTTAATTACTACAAGTTTAATTACTAAATGTTTTGTTTCATTATTATTATTCTACATAAATAATTATCTATATAGATGTCAATTTTGTATAAATTATAATTGTAAATCTTCTATGTTATTTCAATTAAGTTTTTAGAGATTATCAAAATTTTGCTAATTTAAGTTTTTATAACATTAAATTTTCATTTAGAAATTTAAATATTTTACTTAAAATATGATTACACTTTTAATAAAATCTAAAGTAAATATCAAGATTTAATTAATATTATATTGATAAAAATATTGTAAAAGTATTGAATATATTTTTGTATAACTTTCAGTGTGCTGAAAACCCCAACGGAAGAAATTTGGCCAGGTGTTACACAGCTAGCTGATTATAAAGCAACTTTCCCCAATTGGATAACAAATAATTTGCAATTACAAGTAAAAAATTTGGATAAAAATGGCCTAGATTTATTAGATGCAATGCTAACATATGATCCAGCAGCAAGAATAACAGCCAGGGATGCATTGTTGCACTCTTATTTTGACGACTTAGATAAAAGGAAATTACCAACTGCATAAAACTTCATTAATTTTAGTTCCATGTACTATTGTTTTTTTTTTAGTTTTACCTTTAACATTTAATATCACCACGAGCAAAATATTAAATTTTAGTATATTTATAGTTTTATAATTTTATAGTTAATATATTCATTATTTTATTTTTAACAGCTTCATTTAGCAATATACTGAATAGTTTATATTATACTTTGTCAGTAGTCATGTTATTAATATAACATGATCATTTGGAATAATTAATTAATAACTTTAATTATTATGTACTCAGAAATATGAATTAAAAATATTATAAATATAGAAATGTCATAGTAATCAGTAAATAATATTTATAGCATTAAAAAATCTTTATAAAGATTTGTAATCATACTTAAGAAAACAAATAAGTGTAAAATATCATTTTAATGTAATCATTATAATTAAATTAATTAAATACACAAGTTTATAAATTATAAAAAATTGAATTTTTGGTATTGCTTGAATTGATCAGCAAAACATAAGTATATGCTTTTATATTTTTATTGTCCAATATTTTTCAATGTTTATTAATGAAGATCCAAAAATAAAGAGTATAAACCAGAATTTTATGACTTGTAAATTATCAAGAACAATACTCATCATTTTTATTAATGTTCAAAGTTCAAATATATTTTTATTTAGAAACAACATTTTCATAAGCATCCATTGAAATAAAAAAAACTGTTAATGAACTTTTAATGAAATTAATAAATTAATAAAAAAAATTTAATTGATTAACAAAAATTCAATTCTTCAATTGAACTTTAAATTTTTAAAATATATTCTTTATTCTTTAAATCCATTCAAATAAAGAAAATGATGTTTTTAACTCATAAACTACATTCTGGTATTTAATGGTAGTTATACTAAATATATTGATTTTATATATTATTATAATACATTAGCTGTTATAATTGAGAATTAAATTTTTTAAATAATTTGAAATTATAAATTCTATTAATATTTATTTAATACCAACTTTTTAAATGATAATAAATTTTTAGAATATTAACCTGGATATTTTAGTTTGCTGTTATTTTTCAAGAGATCATAACAGCAAAAATTATATTAATTTTATATACTAAATATTAAAAATTTGTATGAAAATAGATTCTACAAAATTTTTAATTTATATACATTATTTAATCAAGTATTCTTTAAATTGAAATAAAATAATATGTACAGTTTAAACTCAATATGCTTTTATATTTTTTTAAAGATAAACCTTAAATTTATTTTATATAATTTTAATTTACTTTTTAAAGATATTTTTGGTATAGGTTGTATTTGATATTGTTTTTTATAATATATGAAAAATCTTCGAGTTATTTGTATTAATAACCATAATATTACTTTTTAGATGAATAAAAGTATAATTATAATTGTGTGATAAGATTTAATTATATATATCATATAATTTTTATTACTTTGTATGATTAAGTATAGTTTTATATATTAACTTATATTTACTTTGATTGAAAAGCATTATTGTCATGATATTTATAATAAAAATTCAATATGGTGTTCAATGTATATAATATATACAGAGTAGTTTAAATACTAATTAAAGATATAAAATAGCAAAAAATTAATTTTTTTACCCAGTATTTTGTAAATATATTCTTATCAATTTATTCCCCCTTTATTTTTCATAGTAGTTAAAATGAATTCTAAATGTACAATAAATATTAAAAAACAAATATTATATGATTTATAAACTAAAAAAATATTTTTTATTTAATTATACAATTTCTCACGAAAACTGTTTATTTTGTTATATGCATATTTAATTATTAAATTTAAAATTAAATTTGTTTAAACCATTAATATACGAATTTCTCCAAAACACCTTTTTTTATTTAATGTTATAATATAAAGTTTATAATTAAAAATTTATATAAAATCAGTTTTTTGTATTATTAAATGCAATATGTAAATATAAATTAAATTCTTAAATTAATATAAGAAATTTACTATTTTTCAAACATTCTTTATATAAATCTTATATTATACAAAATTTATATAATTTTCATATAATATAAACATTATTAATTTATATATGAACAGGTTTTTAATTTGATTATATCACTGAATAATCTAAGTAAATTTTGAGAAATTAATAAATTAATTAAAATTAGTAATTTTATTCATTCAAAATTTAATTTAAAAATAAATTGATAAGCAAGATTTTTCTAGTGAAGTTAGTAATGCTTTATCAGAAATAACAAATACACTTTTATATTTCTGCAGAATGTCTGTGTATTTTTTGCTAAACATATGATTATCATAATCGAATTGAAAAATAGTTGATACTATTGGACAGCTGAGAGTCTAGATGTTCGGTTCGAAATTCATGTTTGAAAAGTTAGAATTATGGAAGTTTGGAACGAGTAAATTGATGTAGCCAGTAGGGGTAACCGTATAAAAAGTGAAACGTACCAAGAGAACTATTTAGAGTTCACACAAGTTCCGGAAGATAGTTGTGTACATCAGTGTATATTAGTATAAATATATTTCTTTTATTACACAGTAAGTTTTCTATTCTGTTGGCTTTAATAGCTATACACAAAATTTTCTTAATGAAGTGAAAAAAAAAATGTTTTAATCTTAATACTTTATACATAATGAATTTAAACGATCATTTTATATAAGTAAAATGATATTTTAGTTCTATTAATTTATTTTCATTAAGAAATTAGTATGAAAAAATAACTTATTAAATACATTAATTCACGTTTTCAATGAATCAGCTATATTCCTATAATAAATGTAACAAAATCGTAACATCGTTTCTCTATATAGAGATTAAATACATTTCAAAATTTTTAGAAAAGCATTGCACTTGTTCGTATATTCATTTTCATACTCACTCTTCCTTCCCCTTTATAGTTGCTCTTACTTTTCTATGTATGTCCAATCTTTATCATTTGATAATTTTATCAATTGAAAAACTTTGATAATGAAAATTTATATTTGTATTATATTCTTATAATGGCATTCGAATCTATAATATACAAACAATTTTGAAAAATATATTTCTATTATTTAATAGTATTTATTTAATTGACTCAATCATGGAATTGCTGTCAAGTTTCATTTATAAAAGATAATCTTATAACAAAATTTATAAGAACATTATCCAAATATTTCAGAATAAAAAAGAAAGAAAAATAAAACATTCCTAGTACAATTACGATATTTATGATAATTAAATTCAGGTGAATTCATTAAAAATAATATCATTTTATTATTATTATTCTTTATTATTATTATTATATATTTAATGAATAATATTATTCATTATAAATAATGCATATTAATCGTATATCATAGTATAGTGAAACTATATCTGTATTAATTGAAAAAAAAATTAATAATTAATTATAATTATATATATTTTAGTATATGTATGATAGGATTAAGCATATAAAAGTAATAAAGTTAATATATTCTAGTTATGTTGTTAAAAAAATGTTGATTTTTATTTTATAATGTACGTATTAATTTTATTTATAAAATGTTAATAACAAAAGTTACTATTTAAATATACGAAATAAAAAAATTTGCTTCTTATTGTTGATGCTTATAAATTATTGAATATATTTTACATATTTGATAAACCGCGAAAAATAAACGAAAAATAAAAATTAAAACAATAGAATTTTCGCTTGAATTTTTATTACTTAAATTTTCAAGGCAAATGTGATTGACATCTCTCAGCTGAATGCAAAAATGTCAATTATATATATTTTCACCTTCCTTTTTTTATTATTCATTAACCTTTATCTATACAGACCATTTTATTATATAAACTTTATATTCATTTTATATGAATTTTATATAATTTTTCTATAATTTTTACTTATATGTAATTATTACTTTGATTGATTTTGTTCTTATACAAGACAATAAAGAATGAAAATATTGAAGTCCATAAACGTAGAATATAATATTTAAAATAAAAAATTTAAAAAATGTATCTCAAACTACATTGTTTTAATAAATTGTTTTAATATATATGTATTATACCATTATGTTCTGCATAATATGTGTTCGTATAAAAATAAATAATCTTTATATAAAAACATATAATATATGTACAATTTTTAACATTTAAAATTTTACGACTCATTAGACTTTAATTATAAAAAATCTAATAGTATATATTCCATTATACACTGTTTCATTTTATCTTGAATATTCTTTTTGCTTATCGAAAATTATTATTATTAATACTTACGCAGAATTAAATATTATTGAAGTTAAAAATTATAATTAATTCCATAATTAAATATTTATCGTTATTCATGAACTTCAAAGTAATCCCTTTTAACTTGAAAAATATTTATTTTGTATAAAAATTATTGTTTTATATTTTTGTAATTTCACGTATTTTTTCATATTTAACATTCATAATCTTTTTTCAAAAATTAATATTTGTTTTTATTATTTAATGAAAATTATTAATTATCAAATAAATGAGAGTTTTAGATATTATTTATGCATCTGTACTTTTATTATATTTTTGTTTTCCTAAATGTTTACCTAAACCTAAATTATGAAATATATATATGAATAAATAGATAATAATAAATATATCTATAAATAGTTATCTATTGTTTTTTATTATTTTTTTTTAAATTTTTATATAAACTATTCTTCAAAAAAACAGTAACCCATATTAAAATTACTACATTTTGTGAGAAAATATTTTAATCTACGATTAATCTGTATAATCTATAATTTATTACAAATTTGATACGAAGACAGACTTTAAATTCGTAGACAATAAATTGCATTCAAATTTAAATGCATAAAATTGTTGTCATTTATTTAAATTCTAAAAAAATATTTTATATAATGGTACTGTTTTATGTGCTGAAGATAATAGGTTTTTTATACATTTTATATTAAAATTTTAACGAAAAATATTGAAAATTTCTTGATTTATCTAAAAAACAAAGCTTCAACAAAGCTTATAAATTATGAACGTTATAAAAGTATGTATACTGTCTATTTATTTCGACAAGGTTGATTTCGAATTAATCTATAACAGATTAATTCTGGTGAAGCCAATAATAGTATAGTCGTCGTCCGGATTTGCGTCATCAGTATCTTTAAAAGCATAACAAAGATGATGAATAATACACAAGCAAAAAGAATATTGGTTAATACAAAACTCGTATAGTAATTATGCAATTTATATTGTAAATTTAATAAAAATATTAAGAATTAGTTATTAAATTTATTATTATAACATTTTTAATTTTGTAATATTTAATGTGTAACTTATTGTGTAACATTTTAATCAATAATTTAGGATATAAGTATTTAAACATCATATATAATAAATAAAAGATTATTTAAATAATTTAAATAATGATGTTCTTACTTATTCGTAATCTCGTTCATATAATCTATTGTAACTATTATTATTTTTCTGAATGTTTATTGTATTAATATTAAATAAATAATTTTTAATATATACTTTATATGATGTTAACAAAGCATGATTAATAATATTAAAAAAAATTAATTGGAATTGATATATTTGGCATTTTGCTATATTTCTATATTGGCAGTAAACGATAATCGAGAATGAATAGTAAGAAAAGATTTATTTATTCATTTCGGGTTGCCGTAGTAAAATCACGTCAGTAAAACTCTGGTAGATTAACATTGCCATATTAAATGCTGAGATAAAATATAAAAGATTCATTTTTATATGGTAACTTTTGAATTTTAATCCATTTATTCAGGAAATATTTATGATAGATTTTATACGTAAAATAAATATAAGATCATCATGATGATAATGATTATATATTATAATAATTATATGTATAGTGTACGCGTGGATTTGTATGCATATGTCCCCTCTCTTTCTATTTCTATAATATTTTTTTTTAATTAGCAAAATTGTTAATAAACAGATTTTGTTATTAGATGAGGTCGCTGACATTGTATATCGTGTTAGCAGGATGTATTGCACTTGCAATGACTCATTCTTATCACCTTGGTACTTGTCCAATTGTCGAACCAATGTCCGGCTTTCAAATGAATAAGGTAATTTATGTAACGATCACATTTTATTACTAATTTATCACTTATTGGATTTATATATTAAATCCCCTCCCCATTCGCACATTTGAATATATTATGTATGCATTTTAATTAAAAAAATATATGCCAATAAAAATAATGTAAGACAGACTCAAATATTAAAATATACAATAATATAATTCAATTATATATGTTACGATATAGGAGTCTCAATTAAATATTATTATTTAATAAAGTAATAATCATTTAACACTTTGATAACTAGGTAATGTAAATGATGACTAGCAAAATAAAATCAAATAAAATAAATCAAACGATTTATAAATTAATTATCAAACTTCTATTATCTTAGTTTCTTGGAGAATGGTATGTGATCCAAAAAACTTCAACAGCTAGTAAATGTATTAGTTATAATTATACACGTGGGGAAGAGCCAGGCGAATATATTATCACGCAAGATTCTGATATACCAATTTTAGGTAAGATAACTTTAGTGTGCTCAACTATGCTCAAAAAGCAATAATTATACATTAATGCATAATGTATACGGTAGTGATAATATGTATGGGTGATAAAATTATCGTTTACCAATTATTTATAATTCTATCAGAATAAAATTTATTTTATATTTTAAGAATTATTGCCGTAAACGTTATTCACAACCAGGAGTTTAAAAAATTTTAAAAATGTATGTTAAAACAGCAAGCAAAAATCACAAAAATTGTATGAGTAGAAATAATATTAACGTATGCGGTATGAGTCTTAGCGACATTTCAAGGGAATTAAAAGTTATAGAATAAATTAGAGATAAGCAGACAAGATCGCATATCAAAATATATCTTCCACTAAATAAATCAACCCTATTTGTATAATAATATTACTTGAATTTTATTTTGCATTTTTCAGGTCTTACGTCGCTGAAACATGAATATCATTACACGGGTACGTTGACCGTCCCGTATCCTAGTGTGCCCGCCCATATGTCTGTTCGCTTTCCTCTTAGTAAGCTTAATACTTTTTTCAAAAATTCGTTAGACAATAAATTATTAAATTACGCAAAATTTTGTGTGAACACAAAATAATGTTGTTTATGAGATAAATATTTATAAACAAAAACAGTTTTTATTTGAATTATTTAATAAAAATATATAGTTCATACTCTTTTAATTTCTCATAACTGATTAATACAAATTTGCATATATGGTTTTAAATACTTTAATTTTTAATAGATTAATGTGTTGCTCTCAATGAAAATAAATTGAAGAAAATTATAATTAAAATATAAAATATTTGTTATATAAATTTAGTTTAAATGCACAATTAAAATTGTCTATTTTAGAATAATCGATCGATAGTTCAAACAGATCAAATTTCAAAATAAATAAAAAATGGTATGTAATTCAAATACAGATGTTTGATTATGTAGGGAAATTTTACTTTTTTTTAAAAATAAGAAATATAATTATCATATTTAAACACCGAAGAGTTATGAAAAGAGTTATATCATTTATGATATCGAAAATTATTAATAGTTTTCTTTATTGAACAAAGAAAATAGTTTATGTATAATTGTGAATTAAATTACAGGCGTAGCTGGGACCGCGTTACATGTAATCTTTGGTACAGATTATGATAATTATGCGGGTATCTTTACTTGCCAGAAGCTTGCCTTCGCCCATCGACAATCTGCGACAATTTTGTCACGTAAACGTGATCTCGATAAAGCTTATGTAGACAATATTCGCCAAACCCTCGCTAGTTTCGGTGTTGATCCTTTTGAGCTGAGTATAATCAGCCAAAGTAATTGCCCGCGCGGTAATAATAGTTTTGACTTTAATATCGATCCGCATACCTTTACAGTTGATAATTTTGGTCACGCAATGCGTAAAGCAGGAGAGAAGATCGGTGACGGCGTTGAATGGATCGGTGGTCAAAGTAGTAAAGTATATTATAAAATCACTAGCGGTGAAATCAAGAAGGCCGAGAAACCTGAACTACCTACGAACGTCACACCTCTTTTGAAGACTCCAAAGTTTGAGAACAACGAAATTGAGTCGATATTCTGAAAACGTTCATTTTGCTTTTCATTACTTTATTATAAATAATACTGCAATGTACTAAAAAGGTTTTCATAAAATTATTAGTTGATAAATAATCAATAAATATTTTTAGATAATTGATTATATAAAAAAATTAAATAGATAAAAATCAATTCTAATTTTATAAGATTTGCTACAAATTTACTTTTAAACTTCTAGAATATTTAATTGCTGTATATTCTCATATTTTTCTAATATTAATTTAATTAAATTTCACATTATTATAATTGTAACACAATTATTAATTATAAATATTTTAAATTCAACAGAATATCTTATTTGCACATGCATGGCGCGTGTGCACACATATACTTATTCCTTATCTATTCACAATTAATATTTTAAACAATTCCGTTTCAGTTATAAATTACAGTGTTATTTATTCATATGATTAAAAAAAAAAAAAAAAAAAATATATATATATATATATCATATATGTGCGTGTGTGCGTGCGTGCGTGTTTGTGTGTCTGTGCTTGTGTATGTAGTAAACATTTATCATTAAAGGCAAAAATTTTATAGAGATAAGTTTTATTACGAATTGCTTACGCTATATTTTAAAATATTAAATACTCGTTTGATATATTTGTAATATGAATTATAATAGTGTGACTTTCTGTGTAAGATACGTACATTTTTATACAGTTATAATATATAATAATATTAATATTAAAATATTAATAAAAATAATTAAATATAATAAATTTTTCTGTTTCAAATTAAAATATTTTGTCTACTTAATATTATTCTTATTATAAAAGTATGTATAAAAAAAATCCTTAATTGATACTACTTAATGTACACTCCTTGAAATTATACTTAAAATTATTATATAATATTAAAAGTAATTTTGAGGTAATTTATAAATTCTATAATATTCATTCTATAATAAATATTTTTAATCAATCATATACGTACGCATATTACAATGTTACAATATTTTAACAAATTTAAGTAATTATTGGAATTTATAAATATATCTATTTTGTTATCTGAAATCAAAAACTATTATATTTTTATATATTAGTCTGATCTCATCTTGTATTTCATTAAATAGACACTTGGTTTTTTTCCATATTTAGTTCTAATACTACTGAATTTACATTTACCGATATATAACCATTTCAATTTTGTTTGCTTCTCTGATAATACCATGTTAAATGAATTTAACAAATAAAGAGATTTCATTTGTTTCTATTACTGTTGTTTACATATGATATCTCATACGAATACCAAAAATTGCTTATATTACGGGATAATACATATATGTTTGCTTTTTTTGGAACGCGTTTTTTAATTCCATGTCACTTTTTTATGACTATATATTTTATAATAAAATTTCTTTTTGAAAGTGTCTAAACTAAAATTCATATAGTATCGTTTTTAATTATGTATTTGAATTTATAAATAAAATATACATAATAATTTTTTAGATTAATTAGATTTATATATTATTTACCTTGAAATACATTTTTTTTTCAAAGAAACACATGTTTACAAATAAAATTATTTATATAAAGTGTGAATTTATAATTATATGTATAAATAATAAAACACATGTATTGTATATATGTTACTTATATATATTAAAATTTTTGTATAATAATATAAAAAAGATGAATTTATGTATATGATAATATTTAAAAAATCCCTACAAATAAATATTTAAATCATTTTATTTAAAACCAATTTCTGATTACTATTTAATAAAATTAATAAATTCACTGGATATATACTGATATCATTGCTAAGGATTATATATATTGATCATAATGAATTGTTTAATTAGGACGTTTGTTTCGCATCGAATGAATCGGAAATATTCTTAACGTCAATAATGCTTTGCTTTCCATATGTCAATTATGACACTATATCGAGTTTGAAGTTAGTCATATTATAATATATATATATATATATATATATATATTATTTATATATATGACACATTTCTTGAATTGTTATTCATAGCCTTGAAACGACGTTTAAAATTTGAATTAGCTATTACTTATAAGTTTTATTTCATTTTAATTTAATAGTATTATGAAAATAATTATATAACAATATTAAAAAAAATTAAATATATCTATAATAAACTATAACACATTTAATTATTTATTTATGTTGTATGTAAAATTTATTTATGTTACTAAACGAAAGAAAAATCGTGTAAGTTATTTGATTGAACTATTTTTCAGGTTAGCTAAATTAATTTTAATTTTTAATATTTTAAATTTTAATATTTTCTTAATATGTCAAAATGCATTAATTATGATAAAGTAACTAATTTAAGAATAATTTGACTATCTTTTTATATTCGAAAAAACAACTTGAGATTTCAGTTATATAATAATAGGCTTTGACTTAAAAATGATTAAATTAATAATTAAATAATAAAAGTATTACATTGATTATATTTATTAAAGTTTCTCTCTCTCTCATACTTTTATATGTGTTTGTGTAAAATAGAAAGAAATCATTACTATACACAGAGACAGACAGAGAGAGAGAGAGAGGTAGAGAGAAGGAGAAATAGAAGATAAAAAATATCAATAAACTTTGTTCTGTCAGATGCATTATAATAGAAAAATAAGAAAATAGAAAATCAAAATAAAGTAAATTTTCTAAAAAATTATCGTAAAAACGACTTCTGAAATTTCTGAAATTTTGTAAAATTGAATGAAATTCTTCAAAATTACATCATATTTCACAATTTTTATATAAAACCGGAAAACTTAGCAATAGTTTTAGTAGTGGAGTATCCTATTAATTGCATTATCTATTCAATTATTTTGAAATCCTGTTGAATATAAAACTACATAATATCTATAAATTTGTAATGGATTTTGTATCTATGACTTTGTAATGGATAAATGACATTGTTTATTTGAACACATTATTATTAATTTATTCGTCTTATTACCAATTGATAATAGTTAATATTTTTTATTAAAACAATAGAAAATAATAATTAACTGACATAAAAATTGATAAATTTTGTTTAAAGAAAATTAAGAATAGTAATTTATTAAATAAAAGAATTTAAAGTATATATAATTATGATTCTATTAAAAATAAATTATTGTAATAAAAATAAAATTGAAATACTATTTACATAAAGCCATAGTTCTTATATTTTTTATATTGGCTCTTCAATATTAAAAATATTGAGTAAGACATCTTTTCAAATAACTTTAGTTATGTTTAAAAAATATTATGTACAACATATGGACTTTAAAAAATAATAAATATATACGATAAATAATAAATAAATATTTACTTCATGTTACTACGTATTGTAAATAATTTTAAGTGCAAGACAAAACTTCTACAATTTCTTTATAATAATTTATTTTAAAGGTAAATGATTTTGTATTTATTGTTAAGTAATTCTAGTTTAATTTTATATTGTATCTTATGTGCTATTGAAGTGAAATTCATTTTCATGAAATAACATAGATTCAAATATTTCAATTGTTATACATTTATTTTATATTTAAATTTTATTATAATTGTATTGAATAAAATTTTATAAAATGTTATATAAATAACTAAATTTTCATTGTTCTTTTGGAAAAATCACCTTAGGCACTATGTGAAATGTTAAAGTTACTCTTACCTTCAATTTGCTAATTATAAAATTTTCAAGATTTGTAAAGCTTTGTTATTCAATAAATGCTTTTAATACCACATTATTATTAACATTTTAAATAATTAAAAAGTTATTAATTATAGTGAAATAAATATGAAAAAAGTACTAATTATAATATTAAATGTGTTACAAAATTTTTCAAAGAGGTGAGAATTTTCCAGTTCTGAAAAATATATATTTTAAATTATATATTGTATGTATTATATCGGGATTAAATAAACTAATATACATGATATATTATATTTAAAATTATTCGAGATTTTCATTTGATATTAATTTTGTACTTTTATTCTGTAATTATTATAATATTATAATATAAGAATTATATATATATTTATATATAAATCTATTAAATTTTCTTTAAAAATTAATTTAATTTCAATTATAAATTATAAATTTGAATGTTAAAATCTATCTTATAGAAGAATTATAATAACATTTATATAAATTGATATTTTAAGTAAATGTTATAATTTTGGAGAATGCAAATTATTTATGACTTGCTTTATTTCACAAACTGAAAATCTAGGTATAAATACATAACATGTTCTGAAAATGTCATAAGATTCAAATTTTGAGCAAAGAGATTGTACTTCAAGTATACTTCAAAGAAAAGAAAATGTCAAAAGACTAATTTAAGCCGACTTCATGAACTTATATAAGATAAAACACATAGTATCGGGGAAAACATTAATGATATACCACTACTTCTGCAACATCAAGCAATAAAAATAGAATATTTTCAACTACTTAAAATAAAAACTAACCTTTATATAAGAATAGTATTCTTTATAAAATCTAAGCTACTTTTGTACCCTTAACGTCTTATAAATACTTTTTTTTATAAATGTCTACATTTTTTAAATTCCTATTATAAATAAATATAAACTAAAGTTACATACACTATTCTTCTTTCACGTAAAAATATTAGTTCAAAATAAAAATTTATTATAAAATAGATTTGTCGAAAAAACATCGATTTCACACAAGCAAATTCAAATATTACATCATAATTAAAACATTTAAAAAAATAAAGCATGTATAATGTAACTGAAAATAGACTTGAATCTTTTTTATAGAATTTACTATAATAAGTATTAGACTCCAATCAAATTTTATATTTTATTATATTAATAATATTTTAACATTTTAATAATATTTGCATGTTTTTAATATACAGCTGAAGATGACTTATGGGTACAAGATTATTCTAATAATAATAGAATAAATATATATATATATATATATATATATATATATATATATTTATTCTATTATTATTAGAATAATCTTTTAATCTCCTATATACTACTTTAATATTGAATGAAAATCTTACATCATAAATTTGTATTTGTCATTGAAAATAGTAATATTTGAAAAGTACTAATTAATTAATGATTTAGAATCATTTTGAAATAAAAGTTTCTTTTTCGTTAATTTGATGCACTAAAATACTAGATTGGGACCGTTGGATATCATAATTCCACAAAGAATTTAAGTTATTATAGTATTTGTTTTCTCTCATGTATTAAAAATTTATTTAACCAAAAGAATTGTATATTAAATACATCTAAAGTGGATAACATACTAAGGATCGTCTTGCATTGACAAATATGGATACTTAAAATTTTTAACGCATTTTTATTTCAAATATATTATAACTGCAACATGAATCAAAACTTAAATATATTTGAATTCATTTCAAATTTTGTATATAGTGTTTATCATAAATGAATTTTTTATACATGTATATACAAAGTTTATAATTTTTTAAGAATTTTTGAAATTCGTTTTCTTGGATTTTATCTCTAATAAAAAATAATATTTATCCTTTTCTTTTTTAAATAAATATTTTTGGTATTCACACATCTTTTTATTATCAATATCAAATAAGCAAATAATAAAATAACAATAAGTTACATTCTAAATGACCTAGCTGCTATTTTGAAAGAATTTGAAACTAAATTTGCTTTTATATATTCTTTTTTAAATGTACATAAATTTTAAAAAATCATTTTATTAGCCGAATTTAAAATTTAGTTTTATATATATTCATAAAGATTTTAATAAATTTATAAATATTAGATACACCATGCTTAATTAAATATTGGTCAACTAAGAAATTTAAATGCACAAACTCGGTGCTTACATCAGGAATTTGAAAAGTGATTCGTCAAGTGTACAAAGGCAACAATGATAATTGTACACATAGGTGATGCTGTAGTGACAACTGAACGTGGAGAATGAAAAGTTGCGATGCAAGCTCGTCAAGGCTCGGGCATAAATAGCATACATCGGCGGAAAACAACGTCACATGATAGCGATCCCCTTTAATAAAAGGTCCCGCGACGAGGTCTGATCGACGGATCAACTAACACAAACGTTCATAGTATCGTACGGATAAATCATTTCGTCAGCTAGTTTTAAGCGACCAGTCTGATAGTAAGCGACGAATCATCAAACCATTTACTCATTTCATCCTCGTGCTGTCCTTAGTTTTGCATGCAAAAACACACTTGTAAGCACTGTGATCCTTCTTTTTTTCTCACAAATCCAGGTTTTACTGATCAACCCTAGCCTTAATGCCAATCTTACATTGTGCCAAATGAGTTGATTACCTTACTGTCGTAGCTGTGTTTATTTCCTGCTGGCAATTCACTTATAAACGAAGATTTAATTCACGATCTAAGAAGTCTTTATTATTCACAGTGAGTATTAGAAATTACTGTATCTTTTACATCTGTATGTTATTTAATTTCATTTAATAATATTCCATTCAAAATTTCAGCCTTCCCATTTCTAATAAAAATTACCAAATAATAAAATATTTAATTTTGTGGGAATTATTCATGATTCAAATATTTCTTTAATTTATTTTTAATATAGTTTTATATTTACATTCACATTCAAATTTTAAGTGTATATGATAATTAAGGTAACATTCATTTACCTCATTGTATATGCTAAATATTCGTTTTTAATAAATGCATTAATGTACGTATTATTTTACCTGGTACGCTGAAAACTTATTTCTAAACATTAATATTATTTATCAAGATAAATTATAATTATTAACGTAATTGTACCACAATGATAGACCATTTTTTATACATATTAATAAATATGCTATATTATTTATTGTATTTACAGAAATGTATTATTGTATTTTATTATGATCTAACTAATTTGAACAAGTATCAATGCATTTTACGAATAATTTTTATTATAATAATATAATTATATATATAAATTGTAAGTAAATATATGAACAACAATTATATGTACATAAATAAGTTTTTTAAAGCTTATTAAAATAATGTTTTCTTATGTTTTTTAAAGAATACACTGTATAATTATATAACTTAAAAGAAAACACACATACACACATATATATTCTAAATTTTAAGAAAAGTACTTTGTTATGAAGAATTCATGAATTTAAAATTTATATTAATGCAAATATTTATTCAATTGAAGATAAATATTTAGGTTATTAATTATAAGACACGTTTTCTAATAAATGGAAAAATGAAAGTAATAATTCATTCGTTTATGTAAAAAATAATTATCACTTTAAATTAATAAAGAATTCACTAGTATGAAGAGTTGATGCAATAACGAACAATGGAATGTGTTGAATAAAGAATGTGACTAGAAAAATGCTTTTACACTACTGTTTTAATAAAACAATATGCATTTAACTCTTTAAATTTAATATATGCGTAAAATATATTTTATTAATTGTAATTTCTATTTATGTAATTGTTTACTATAAGATTATATTCAATTGCAGTTCTGATAATAAAGCACATAAAATATAATATAAATGTAGTATATAACTAATAATTTTAATATATCTGCATTCAGCTTTATTTCTAAAATTTTTATTATCTATAATAACATGTTATTAAAATACATTCATACTAGTATTTTATTCGTTAGTTGTGAAAAATAAATTTATAATAATATATAATATGAATTATAATATGAAAATAATTTTTTTATTAAAAAAATTTTGTATTTTATAATATTTATTCAGTTCAATGCTTTTTATATTTCAAGATTTTCATTATAAATAAATAAAGTTTTAATAAATATTTACCTATTTTTAAAATTAAAAACATCTTTAGTAATAGAATAATTAAATATATATTGAAAATTTGTATTTTACTACACTCCTGTAGCATGTCATTTAGAGGTTTATATTATACATACTTTAGTTTTGAATATTCAGTATTTCATGTATTAATTCTAATAGAATAACTTTTATTAATGTTTTGAACTATAAATTATTAATAAAAAATTTAATTATTTACTGTAATTATAAAATTATATAACACAAATGGTAAGTAATTTTCCTAATATATTTAAAAAATCATTTGCTTTTAAATGTTTTTGTTTCTTAATCTTTAAATAAAACAACGTTAACCATATGTGCATATTAATATAAATGAAATTGAAAAATAAAAATTTTATAATTTTTAATTTATCTAAATTTATCTGTTTCATATTAATTAATGTGCAATTAATTAATCGATGACTAATTTTTTATACATATTAAAAATTAAATATAATACTTCTCAAAGTACACTTACTAAAATTAATGAAAGCATTAGTTTTTTTAAAGAAAAAAACATTATATATTATAATCAATTTTTTATATTTAGTATGAATTAGAAATAATTAACAAAATAAAAATATGGATTTATATAAAAATTGTTTTATCACAGTATATTAGCACTATACTATTATTAAGATGCAACATATATATTGTATCATATTTCTTAAATTTTATAAACTTTCTCAAATATTATTCTCATAGATTTTAAATATTCTATATTCAAAAATATATTTAATCTAATTTTGACAGCATATATTATAAAAAAGTTTAGTCAATAAATTGTAAATTTTAAGTTAAATAAGAAATTGAATATAAATTTTGAGAATAATCTTAATGAAAAATATTTATCGTTACTATTTTTTTTTTCAATAGCTTCATTTAATATATCGACATGATTTGACATTATTTTAATTAAAAATTTATGGTCATTATCAAAGAAAATTTTATTTTTTCTATTTAAAATTTTTTGTAATATTTTGCATTGACTTTAATATTAAACTTTATTCAAGTGTATATTAAACTATAATCTTTACATACACCAACAGTGCAAAACTCTTTATAATCAAGATTCTAATAAGTAAATAATGAGATCTTGAGCCCAAATTTATTATACAAAGATAATCTAAAATTTATTGTTCTTGTTCAGATGCTCATATGTATTAAAATTCTTTTTAATTCAATAAATATTCAATTTATAAAATATTTTTAAGCAATTATATAGAGAATTAAAAAAAACAATAAATATCATAAATTTTAAAACAGTTTAAAACTATTTTTAAATTAAGATAGTGTTAGAATTGTAGTAAAAAATTGTTCTATATGGGCATTACGTGAATTTAGCAGAAGATTCAAAGATTAAGAATAAACTCAGTTAATTTTTCATAGTACCTTCACGAGAATATATACATTTACATATCCAAGGAACGTAATAAGACGAAAGGAAGGATGAGACGAAATGTGCAGTGTAATATTTAAATGCGACGCAACTTGCGAGCTTTCAGCGATTGCGCATTCTTGCTCCATGCGGACAATCAGACGTGTGTCTATTTTCATACTTAAATGCTTTTTCTCCGTTTTCATTCTAAAGTAAACCTTTGTGTTTTTTCGGCTAGTATTACTTAGCTTCATGTTATTCCAATACGTACTCTGGTTTATATTATCTTTCACGATGAATTATTTTATAGTTACCATAGGAATTTGCATTAAAATCTATGTATTATTTGCTTATTATTATTTCTCTTATTTGATGCTTAAAATGAGCTTTAAATATATTCTTTTTGATATATGTATATGGTACTTTACTGCACACGATAAAATTTATAAATTTAAATTTAAGTTGACTAAAATTGTAATTAGTAGTATATTATACATGAAAAACTAATAATATTTTTAATTTTTGTTACAAATCAAGTTATTTTTCAAATCAAAGTCAATTTTGCAGCGTAATCGTAATTGTTAATATACTGTAAATATTTGTATTCAATTTTCTTCAATGTTTTATACCTTTGAACCTATAAATTATCGTCTTATGAATTGATAGATTACTTATTTATTGAGAAAAATGTCCAATAATAATAAAATGTATAGTATTATTCCTACATTCAATTAGTATTATAAATACATACTACTCTTTTATATGTTGAAAATTGTTATTTCTCATCTTAAAAAGAATACATTCAATATTGCAATATATTTTAATTTTAAAAATGATTGTATTAATAAACGATATTTATATCAATAAATAATTTTTTTCAGAATTACTTAAAACAGTGTAAATATTATTTTTTCAATAATTATTATTATACATTTCACTAGTATAATAAATTAAAAAAAATTTTTTTTAATAAGCAAAGTTCATAAGCATAAAGTTTTTATATAACCTGATTAAGGTAAGAAAATAGATATATTTAAATATTTCATCATTTTAGTATTTTAATTTATTAAAATTTATAATTAATAAATAAAACCTTATGAACATTAATTCTACAATATTTTAAATATTAGATAATTCAGAAATTCTATAAAGAATTATGAGTAGTACTTTAAAATTTATAGAATTAAAAATTTCAATTTGTTAACAGATTAATTTATCTTACTCATACATAACTCTATTAATAACTTATTTTAAAATCTATTCTTCTTGCTTTTTATTGAATACTATAGGAGTTAGTAAGTGATAATAACTTGTAAGCATTCTTTATTGTACATTATATTTAATGTTATATTAGTCTAGACTTAATAATAAGATTTATCCCTCTAGATATTTCTAATATTAAAATCAAAGTAGACACTATATAATATAAAAAGTTTTCATATTAAAATTTAATACTTAAAAATACACTTAAGTTTCAACAATTATAATGCTCTTCAGTGATAAATTTTCCATAATATTTTATTTAAATTCATATTCTTTTTTAATTTTTATATAACTTTTGCAGTAATTTTTTAATGCGTGGTAGTAGGTTTTAATGAATTATAAGCTTTTATTAAAACTTAGATTTTTTTATTTAATTAATTAATAGCTGTTATCTAATATTTAATAATTATTGCAATATTGTGCAGTCTTTATTATGACAAATAATTATTAATCAATAAAATAAATAAAAATATGAATTATTTTTTTAGAACATGGATATCAAAAAATTATAAGAAATATAACAAATACTTCGTTAAATTCTTTATTCATCAATACTTAATTTAGATTGATGTTCTATAATTAAATATATTTTATAAAATTAAATTAATAATTGCTATTACTACTTTAGTTCTATTATATTAGTAATTTTAAAATCTGAATAATATTAAATTACAAATTAAATATTTGTCTTATAAAGTTCCAATTTATTAATTTTTAGTCTATTTATTAGATTTAGAATTAAAAATTTTATATTATTTATAAACTAAAATCTAACTATTTATATATATTTATTTATACTTGATTTGACTTACATGTAATATATAAATTCCATTTTTATCATTTTTTTATTACCTACACAATTTGTTGATATATTTTATATTTCTTTGTTGCATTTCTCTGTTATTTTCTCTGTTGTAAATGACGGTTTTTATTAGAGGTTGCGGTATTTA